TTTACACTAGGTGTCGCGGCGCTTCAAAAATTTTTTTTCCAGCAACATACACTTTTTAATATGTCACGATAAAGATCCCTTAATTTTGAATATTTTTCCTATACAACATTTTTTTATGTTCCCATTATTTAAAAAGTTATGGGCAATTCTCTAGTGAATTTCTCTATCTCATAATTATTATTGCAACGACGTAGTCAGCGATATAGCTCTTTTGTCGATGCTCTTGCTGGTTCAATATATCAATAACTATGGTTCTATTTACAATAAAAAACGTATTCCCTAAAAACAATTTAATAACACAACTGTGTATAGAACAATTACATTAATTTGTAAGAATTACAAACCCACCTATCATATAAGGGAGACCACAACAGTATAAAGAATATCAACTGAAATACGTAAATAGAAAAGGAATATCAACTGAAACAAATAAACATGAAAGTAAATAAACACAATTTTAATGGGTGTTCAATGTTAGCACCATTATTATTTAAATACAATTCATCACGTTTTCTTAGTTCACTAGACGTTACTTTTTTTAAAATATTGCCACGTATTTCAGCACAAGCGGCAGTGATTTTCTGCTTCAAATGATCAATACTGTTTGTTTTAGTTTTATACACAATATTTTTAGGGCTCCCCACAAGAAGAAATCAAGAGAAATATGGGGCTCTCGGAGCAAATTGTAAAGTGCCATTAAGTAGTACCTATCCACTTATTTTCAAGTGCAAATTTAAATAGTTTTGAACAACTGCAGCATTATTGGTAAGGCGCTCCGTCCAGTTGAAACCACATGTGTCTCCTAATTTGAAGTGGCACATTTTCTATAATAGGAATTTCATTTGCAAGAAAATTGCAATACCTTTGTCCCGTTAAGACACCAGCATAAAATGGAATGCCATGACTAATAAAATGACTTTCGCCTGTCCACAAAATGTGGTTATACAAATTAGGATCATCATCTAATGCAACTAAGAACTGAGAAATAAAATTTTTTCGCCGTTCAAAATCTCCAGGATTTAACTCTAGCACACTATGTACTTTATAATCGTGAAATTTGTTAATTTTTAAAACTCTTTGAATTGCATTATATGTCAAATTTAACTCTCTCGAAGCCTTTCTAATCGGTGCTTCAGGATGATCTTATGTAGTTATGTATATGTAGTTTATTATAACTGCCACATTTTCGTCAGCGGGTACTGTTTTTTGTCTCACCCTGTTAACTAAAAATGATTTCTTATTCTGACGGAGAACATTTTTCAATTTGCTAAATATTTGATGATTTGGAAGATTTCTTTCGGGATATCTCAGTGCGTATAATCTTTTTGCCCGTAATGCATTTTTATGGGCTTCTCCGAAAATTAACAGCATATCCACTTTTTCGTCATGGAAAACATTTTATTACTGCTACTTTTCAGTAACTACTACTAATGCACGATCACAATACTTCAAAAATTAATTTTCGAAATTCTGACACTTCTCATTGAGTATATGTTATATGAAAACAAATACTGTTTTTTACCTAGCCTGCTTGCATTTATTCAAAAAAATAATAAAGTTCAACGAATAGAATTTACTACATTTATTATAGAAATGTGTGGCAAAAACTATCACAACAGATAAAAATTTGGCAATTGTTTTTCACTGTTTAGTTGCATTGGAGAATTACAGCAAAGCTTTTAAATTTTAGTGTCATTAAATAAGTTTATATAGTTATATGATGGTGTCTTATTAACAAAGTACAACTTGGGAATCGACAACTTTTTAAATAATGGGAACATAAAAAATTGTTTTATAGGAAAAATATTCAAAATTAAGGGATCTTTATCGTGACATATTAAAAAATGTATGTTGCTGGAAAAAATTTTTTGAAGCACCGCGAAGCTTAGCGTCGTAAAGATATTTCTGTATTTTGTCCTTACCTTCAAGTAAAAGTAATCAGAAATGGTTAATTTCTAAAATAATTTGTTTCTCTCAGCCGTTTACCAGAAAAACTCATTTCTCCAGTTAAATCGATCACCCTGTACATATTTTCTATATATTGAAAAATACAAAGCAAAATATCCAAGACCTGAAGAAAAACTGAACATCCGACAACATCGCAGTTTTGATTTTCATATTATATGTGATTCACTTAATAAATAATAGACAAGGGTAATAGTAATTTAAGTTTTTGTGAGGCACTGAATACTTTATATGAATGGAAACTTCTTAAAATTTCAGAAGACCCTTCTAAAATTTAGAAATATTACAAATGGTAAAAAATTAAAAAAGAACTCTATGCATTTTATATGAATTCTCTAAATTGGAACAAGTCTAAAAAGTTATTTTCTATTGTACTAACATCAAATAGACTTTTTATTCATCATGCATCTTACAACATTTCATCTTCGATCTTGCAAATTCTCGTTAAAAAGGTAAATTTTTGCCTAATATTATTTGAGTATCAAACTCTAGCACCTGAAAAGTCTCGAAAACAATATAAAATGGTAAACAATTCAAACGATTGGTGTTTCGAAAGAAGTGAAGAATTTTACGGAAAATGTCTTTCTTTCTAATTTTTCAAAAAGGACAAAGCATATAAAACCGCAAGACAGAATATTGCATAGTGAAAGCTTTACTAATAGCTGAAAAACAAGTTAAAATTCTTCTTTGTTAAAAAAGATGTTGACACTGACGTTCTAACCGATAGAATCTTTAAATGAATTCAATCACACGATCGTATATAAAATGTTATTAAAAAACACTAAATTAAAAATTAATTTCTTGAAAGAAACTGTTATTTGTGAAGCCAATAAATGTGGCAATGACTTTATGAAATATATCTTTTTAACACATTCCTTACACACTGTTATTATTATTATTATTATTTGGATTTAATTAGAAGTTAAGAACATTAAACCGTATATTTTGATTTAACACTGTCTAGTTTGACCAGATAAACATGAAAAGGCTTAAAAGTGACCTGTATTTACATACGCCTATAAAAAACGACTCCAGACAGTCGTCCCTGTTGATAAACGAAATGTTACAGTTACAGCGGGCGACGGAAAGTCTGGAGAAACTCAAATACCAACAATGAAATGTATTAATTTATGTGAAACAATTTTCCGAATAACCTTCTCAAGGGCTATAAATAAAGGAATTGCACCATCAAGCTGCTCAGAAAAACCTCCTTAAAAAATATTCGTAAAACCGTCGACTTTCCTTGCTTAGATATAGAATTTCTAACAGAAAATAAGTTTTTAATCAACGATTTTGAGTTTGGCTTTCCAAATAGTATCGCGACGCTTGTCAAATTGATTTTTCTAATATTCTTTATGAATAATATCTCTACGCCTTATTCCAATCGCTAGGATTAGTTAAGAAATATTAGGCTTATACGAGAAAGGGGAACGGTATATTATTATTCAATAGGCTGCATTTTAAATAGGTATTTTATAGAACAATTACATGGTGTGAAACGACATTGCGACAAACTTTCAGAACTGACTCCTCTTATAAAAACAGAAATCAAAAATTTAAGACACTAAAAAAAGATGTACCAGTTGAGAGTGAAAATACACTTGCTCCAGCAAAAAAGTTGTATAAAACAGTGATCTGTCTAAATTTCTTGCTGTAGTAATTAATCTGTGTTGATGCGGCTACTAAAACATACAGCTAAACTTAATTGTGGTATATTAAATGTAAGTAAACTGTGCATTTAAGAGAAACAGATTGTAATGCATCAATAATATTTCAACATTAACATATTTCAGTCGATATTTGTGACAAAAATGCTTTTCATATTTCGTAGTTTTCTGATTTATAAAAAATATTTTGTAGGTATAGTGCAAGAGTTAATAATGTTTTAGTTTCAGCGGTAAAATATTGTAATAATAAAAATGTATTATACAGGGTGTTTCAATTAAAACGTCCCATCTGGAAAATATCCGAATTAAAAAAAACAAAGTAAACCTGACACACGTCGATTTTCTTTTCAAGGGGGACAAATGATGGCGTAAGTTTTGGTGTCTTGGAAATTACCCCTTACGCAGGGGCATAAAATACCCTTAAACTTTAAATGACACCATATGTTGAGTGACACTTCATTTTAAAGCTTTTTCAATTTTGCTTACAACGACATACGACTTTTTAAATTTTGGTTTGAATATGTCAATAAAATCATCACTTAATATATCAATGAAAATTTGTTTTAATTTTTCGTTTATCTGTCAATATAAAAACTTCATTCTACCTTTCTGACTTTCTTACTGGAAACGATTATCTACCCGATGATTGTGGAAGTATTGGAAAATGATAACGCTTTGCTAAAGAGGATGGTTTTAGCAGAATGGTGCTCCACCACATTATGCCGTAACTGTGCGTGATTCTCTTAATCAGAATTTCAAATCACTGAATAGGACGCAGAGGTTCAACTGAGTGGTCTCCCAGATCGCCACATCTAACGCTATTAGACCTTTTTCTATGGGGACACGACCGAACTCACTGGAGGAGCTTCATCAGCGAATTGTTGTAGAATGTCGTTTTTGTCACAAATTTCGACGTAAAATTTTTTAACGAACATTGATCAAAGATTATTTCTTATATATTCATAATATCTTATGAATCACGGAGCTCTTGGGAATAATTTCAGCTTTGAAAGTTACATCTTGCGTTATTCTCATCATGCTAACTCCTAATTTCTTAAATTCTTTTTGTTAAATAATTAAATCAAGATGGTTCACGATGGCCTTAAGTTACAAAAAATATAATCCGTGTAGAAAGTGAAACTACAAGAAAGCGTAAATGACTGTCATTCCGTCCTAGACTGGCCTTCACGTTTGCAAATCTGGTATAATAGATAAAGGAATGACTATTAATAGATTAAATTTTATCTATTTCTCTAAAAAAGCTGTTATTAGGTTAAAAAGACAACCATTTACGTCCGTTCAGTACCACGATAGAGCTACGTGTCAACTACTTATCGAAAATGCTCATATGAGGAATAAAAAAAGGACTTACAGGGGACTGTTGAGCTGCCAGTAGGTCAGGTCTTCGCTGACCCAGGGATTAGAGGGTTGGGTTGGTGTTATTAAAGGGTCGTATTCCATGTAAATCTCTACATGTTGCACCATGCTTTCCAGTGCCTGGGAAACTTTCACCCTAGTTCTGGAGAGGCTATTTTTCAGAAGTTCAACCTGAAATAGTGGAGAAAATTAATGTTTGAGGTGTGTAAATCCAAATTTAGATATTCAAGTAGGTATGCGAGAATAGGAACAGGATTAACTTTAACTAAATTAATTTTTTTCCAAATTTCAGACCAATTTTATTCACGATGAAGGTATTTTGTATGTTGTCAAGTATGCGTGTCAAGTCGCGTTATTGTAAGGGTCAAAGAAACGGTGACATCCTTTTGCGCACGGCACTGTACTGGTTGATAACTACAGGGTGTGTCATGTATAATCTATAAAAATTAAACTACAGCTTGCTGATGATATTTGTAATAGAAAAGTCTTATACGAAAAAGTTCTATCTTGGCGTTTTTTTTTTTTTGTAAATTAGAGTCCATTTATTCAACGAAAATGAAGGCCGACCCTGTGTTTTTTATTAAAAACTTTGGAAATGTTTTTATGTGACCCGAGATGCAACCTTATAATTTAAGTCGGTATAATCTAATACTAGTAATAATAAAAGAAGGTTAGTTTACATTGCCAAAAAATTTGTGCAGTCAACTGATTTTATATTTGTATTGAATTCATTATTCACTTAATTATTAAATATTAAGCATCGTCCATCGATCCATCAGTGTTAAAAAGTGAAAGATTCCAGACAAAAGTTTTTATTTTGCAATTCCACAATAGTGACAGTGTAATTTTTATAAAGAAGTAAACAGTAAGAATAGCGTACCGATTACATTAAAAACGAGATTCTTATTTCTTATTTTGCTTAATTTTTTAGTTTATACACAAACTAGTTTTACAATGAACCGAGAAAACAATGCATTTACTATTTCCGAATGTGTCGATATGGTGTTAGTGTATGGTGCAGCTGGAGAAAATGAGCTCGCGGCGACTAGGTTGTACCGGAAACGATGGCCACAACGTCACCCCCCCATATGCAAATACAATCCAACAGTGCGTTCAGCGACTGCGAGATACGGGAAGTGTTATTCCTCGAGGAGAAGAACGTGGTCAGCACGAGTGAACCTCAATGTTGAAGATACAGTGTTCGAAAATCTCGACGAACACCCCACAATTAGTACTCGAAGTAAATTTCCATAATATGCATGAGCCTTCCAAAATAATCACGCGATTAGGAAAACTCATTTTCAACATCGGTTTTCAGTAAATGTTTGGCTGGCATAATAAGCCTATTTCTAAATTCTAAATGGACCAATATATGCTGACTTTTTGGAGAACCGGTTGCCTGAATTATTGGACGGTGTGGCATTACAAGTTCAGGCATGCATGTTTTATCTTCAAGATGGGGCTCCTCCACACAGTACTCGAGAAGTAACGACACATTTGAGTGAAATGTTTCCTCGGCGATGGATTGGACGCTTTAGTCATGTGCCGTGACCACCTCGGTCACCTGATCTAACTCCAACTGACTTTTATATTTGGAGTCACTTGAAGTTATTGGTTTAAAATATTCCATTGATACTGTGGAAGAATTGCGAAACCGTATACTTGAAGCTGCTGACACAATTAGGTGAATACCTGGAATTTGGGAAAATATTCGCCAAAATTGGGTGCGTCGGTGCCATGCCTGTATCCGCGCTAATGGAGATCAAATTCAACATTTTCTCTAGAAATGGTAAATTTTATTTCATTTTGTTCCATATTTGAATGGAGTTTGTATAGTGCACGCAGTTGGCAACTACAGATGCTTACTTTAATTAATTACCTACTATTAATTATTATAATAAGAAAATATCAGTTTTTTTTAAATATCTATTTTTCTTAGTTTGTATTTTTGCATTGAAAAATTCCCCAAAAATTGAGAAGTATCTTTCTATCTTTCAACGACGATTTGCTTACGCGGCTGGTCTACAGCCCGTAACTCATCGTATAGCACACGGACAGGACCGTTCCAAAGAAAATATTTTGATCCATAATTGAACTTTAATTTACGAAAAAAAATGCAAAAATAGGACTTTTTCATATAAAACTTTTCTATTGCAAATATCGTTAGGAAGCTGTAGTTTAATTTTTATAGATTATTACTTGTGCGACCAAGGGTAGGTCATAACAATATTTGATAAAAGTTTATTAATTTATAAAAAATAAAATGTACAATAGATTCATATAAGTACCAGTTGAAAAAGAAATTAAAATATTTATCTATCCAACATTGGAATTCGGTCGACTGCAATTCCTGACCTAGTGCAATGCACTAACAGCTAATCGGTAAATACAAAAAGTTTATGAATAAATAACGGAATGAATTTAAGAAGATAATAAATAAGTGGAGTTTTATCATAACTACTTTATTTTATCGAATATAATTATTGCTTTTATTATCTATTATTGTCAATTCCCGCATCGTTAAGTGTAATCAGTAAATGTTAATGTTTTTTTTTAATCACAAAAAATTAGTACTTATATGACATTACAATTGTTTAAAATTTTGTACATCGATATTTAGTCACATTTGATCAAGTTTCGATGAATCAAGACAAAGTTATTGTTAGGAATTACAATCATGTTCACGTAAATGTACTTCATTTTTTAAATGCCCCATAAAAAATGTCTAGAGGGCTTAAGTCAGGAGAATGTTGTGGTCATGTACTCTTCTTTCAGTCTGTCTTATTTCTTGAACTTCATTCGATTTGGTAAACGTTAAAAACCATTCATTCGATTTGGTAATACGACCATGAACACAACATTTAATTCTAACAACCATTGACAAAACCTAACACGTAACGAATAATCCGCTTGTAGTATACGGGGTTTTCCTCCACAATAATTAAAATTTGTTTCTCTGTTGCTATAATATTTTTCTAAAAATATCCTAAATTTTTCATCCTAAATTCCCCATTTCACGCTCTTTTCGGACTACCACGGTAAAGGCATTTGGTACATGTCTATTCGGAAAATATCCCGCATATAAGCGAGAAGCAGCATTTTGTCTCGTTTCGTTACAAATTAAAATAATATTTATGAATTTTGAACTGCTATACAGAAGCTGTTTTGTAGAAGTGATGTAAACCACAAATCACAGTAATAAGAGTACTGTAAGAGCCACAGTAATTCTGAATAAATATGTCGGCTATACACCTAAAAAGTCAAACGTTTTTACAAGAGAACAAGTCAACGATTTTCTCGTTCAGGCACATATTATTTGCTAATGAAGGTAGTGACGGTCTTAAGCATTGCAGGAGCATGCCGTTCTGATGAGTTATGCAAACTTACTTTGACCAACGTCAATTTCAAAAATTTCGATGACATTATTGTAGTTACAATTCCAGATTGTAAAAAAGGTATGTCACGTACGTTTACAATTACTTCTCACTCACTCACTCACTGTGTTTCTCACCTGGAAATTCTCAAGAAATATATCAAGATTAGATTGGAAATTAATACTGAAATTTCACGCTATTTTATGCGCTATCAAGCAGGTACCTAGATGTTACAACCAGCCAGTCGGCAATAATACCCTTTCTATATGATTCCTAATAAGATTGCACAGTTTGTTGAAACTAGAACATCCTGAAATATATACAAGCCATTCATTCCTAAGAACATCGGCAACGTTACTGGCTAACACAGGAGTTGATGTATTAGCAATCAAGAGATGTGGTGGGTGGAAATCAGCCACAATTGCAGAAAGTTATGTTGCTGACAGTTTAAGTAACAAAAATGAAATAGCCAACAGGATTCTTTACAATGTCACTTTAACTCCAGGTTCTAATAGTAGGTCGTATCATGCTGTTTTAATGGATCAGTCAGATAATATTGAGCCTCCAGTGACTGAAATGGAGTGCGTCAAATCATTTTGAGGAAAATGTGACAGTTAGTAAACGCGACAGGAATAATTATCCAGATTTTATAAATGTGACTAAATGTAATAACTGTACAATTACTGTAAATATTCATTCATAATAATTAATAGAATGTAATGTTCATCAAATATATCCATTTCTTTGTTTATAAAATATGCATTTTTAACTCGAACTTTTTTCCCTAGGGAGGTAACTTACCTCCTTAAAAACAATGTATTTTATATTTACTATACTGGGAGGATATTTTCTTGAAATAAAATAAATANAAGAGATGTGGTGGGTGGAAATCAGCCACAATTGCAGAAAGTTATGTTGCTGACAGTTTAAGTAACAAAAATGAAATAGCCAACAGGATTCTTTATAATGTCACTTCAACTCCAGATTCTAATAGTACGTCGTATCATGCTGTTTTAATGGATCAGTCAGATAATATTGAGCCTCTGGTGATTGAAATCATTTTGAGAAAAATATAACAATTAGTAAACGCGACAGGAATAATTATCCATAGAATAATTATATTAGATTTTATAAATGTGACTAAATGTAATAACTGTACAATTACTGTAAATATTCATTCATAATAATTAATGGAATGTAATGTTCATCAAATATATCCATTTCTTTGTTTATAAAATATGCATTTTTAACTCGAACTTTTTTCCCCTAGGGAGGTAACTTACTTCCTTAAAAACAATGTATTAATAGTCTATTTACTACACTGGGAGGATATTTTCTTGGAATCTATAAATATTTTATCATAACTTTTTTGGTTATACAATACTATTTTTGATGGGGTATACCTATACCCCTAAACTGTTTTGAATAAGTATACCTATAGCCAAGCCTTTATTATTTGAAGAAAAACATCTTCATTAAGTTACGGAAGATGTATGAAAAGAAACATGATATAATTTAATAGAACTTATAAAGAATATTTATATAAGGAAAGATTACCTAAATTACCTATACCTATTATTTTGATAATATTTATTCATAATTCGTTTATATCAAATTACTCTTAATGGAAGTTTCTAATTCATATGCCTAACTTTTGAACAAAATTCATTAAAACTACGTTCGGTCTTCTTATTCACAGCGTACATAATCGGACTAGAAAGTTACAATGTAAAATAAACCATATACTATTAAACGGCTTTGTTTGACATTTAAATAAGCAGTTTCAGACTACCAAAATTTTGCGGGTTAACTTCCAGAGCCTTGCCTGTTCGACCTTATAAACTTCGTGGAATTTAATGAAGACCGTCTGGATATATGTTTGGATAACGTCCTTGTTATTTTTTGCGCGTTTTCAGTATATTTAGGCCACAAAAAATACAAATAAAATTTTTGATACCGAGATTGAACGCCAACATTTTCAAATATTTCAATTTAAGTTGTGAAATGAACAAAAGGTTATGGACAGAGATAATGGAGAATATGTGTTAAAAAAAACACAATATTAAACTATATTATCTTTCTGTTTTGGCAATAAATCAAGAATGACACAACAACGCGCCTCTAAAAATTTCCCGAACAGAATTTATGTCCTGACCTCAAACATTTGACCTTGGATCTGATTGGACGAATTTTTTCTCTTTGGGCTTTAATAGCAAAGAACTACGTTGTCAAATATAAAGAAATGTATTGGGGTTGATGTCACACGACCTATCGTCGAACAAGACGTAGATTTAATACATCAATTTGTCTCTTCCAGAACTGTTCTCAGTAGCTTGGGAAGCTTGGAGGAAACAGAAAGAACAAGAAACTTTGGGAAAATATGAAAAAAAATATTTGTGTAGTATAATTTTGTCATAAGTAGAAAATTTATTGGTAGGTGGAAAAATTGTGTTGTGGGATATCGACGGTGTTAGAAAAGTCATGTGGTAAATTAGTGGCGTATACACAGGGCGTTGCACAAAATTGTGGCGTATAAAGGCTGGCCATTTTAGAACGAAACTTGTAATTTTTATATAAATATTTAAATAATTTCTTTAACATTTTTACGAATTTCGTCGGTTGTAGAAGAACTCACAACTGAATACGATGTGTCGCACGGTGACTATACATTAGACATATTTCGATTTTAATTCTGAAAATTTCGGCAATAGTGTTTTCGGGAATGCCCTTCTCAACTAAAATAATGGCGTCCACCTAACGCTTCCGGTTATACCGGAAGTTGACATCGTCTTCGTTATTTTAAATGGAACACCCTGTATATTATTGCAATTTTGGATTCTACGTCAATTTGTAGGTGTACTTTCATAAAGGTTTCCTATTCTTAAAGTTAACCGTTGTTGATTTATTTAATTTAAAAAAGAAAATATTAATAAAGAAGCACTGCCTAATTCAAAAAGATGTATAATTTACAATAATAAAGTTAGGGCTATAAAATTTATAGGGTACATAACTAAAGCTCTAAGCTTCCTTGCCATAATTTCAAAATGATTTAATTTCATACAGGGTGGTAGAAATTTAATGCCGAATTTAGTCAACTTTAAACCATTTTAATTTATTTTTTTTTAAATGGAACACTGTATATTTTTGCGCAACTTGATGAACAATTTTGTTCTCTTTCGAATGGTATAATGGTTCCGTATACCTGTCTCTTCTGGTTTTTAAGGTATTTACTGTTTTTCGTGCAGTCAACGGATATCGCATAATTTCTTGCGAGGATGGCTGTGAAATTTTTAGTGGAACTTCAAAACAAGCACCTAATCTGTCACTAGTTTATTGTTGTCAATTTAACACATACACTGAATGTTTATTTGAGTATTATTTATTTTTAAAGAATGGAAAACGTTAATATTCAAATGCTGATATTCTTAATTTTTTTTATAATTAAATATATAAAAAACGGTTAACTTTAAGAATAGGAAACCTTTATAAAAGTACACCTAAAAATCGACGTAGAATCCAAAATTGCAATAATATACAGGGTGTTCTATTTAAAATAACGAAGATGACGTCAACTTCCGGTGTAACCAGAAGCGTTAGATGGACGCCATTATTTTAGTTGAGAAGGGCGTACCCGAAAACACTATTGCCCAAATTTTCAAAATTAAAATCGAAATATGTCTAATGTCTCGTCACCGTGGGGCGCCCTGTATATTTTCAGCTTGTAAACCGTCTTACACCCTGGAGAAACCTTGTATGACTGGTACAGTGAAGAGATATTGTTAATAGATTTTCTTTTTAGATTTTCTAAAACCTTCAAAATTCACTGAAAATTATGCATAAAAACATACCCCTTAATATCAATAATTTTATAATGAATTTTAACATTTTTCTCGAAATTTGGTACAAATTACATTTAGAGGTTATAGAATTCAGTGACGTAGTCATAGTTTGAATAAAAGTCTTTAACACATTTTTGTTAAATTTCAGACTAAAAGAATTTAAAAAGAAATGCAAATCACGAGATTTTATAGACCTTTTAAAAAAAATAAATACGTTTTCTTGCAACTGCGTTTCCGCTTGAAATGGGCCACAGGGTGTTTCAAAAAGACCTCCCTTAAATTCAGGGGATGATAGTACGACAAAAAATAAGAATTTTTTGTCTTATGAACTATATATCTATCTCCTTTTGGTTTCGAGATACAGAGCGACAAAATAAAATTTTTTAAATAGAATTTTTACGAAAATCTCCGAACGGTGCGAAATATTTTTATGAAATTTGGTATTCCGGGGTTTTTAAGGACGCCAAATACGCTGGTCTAATTATTTTTTGTATATTTTATAGTGGGCGCTAGTTATGCTACATTCGTATTACATTTTAAGTTCAAATTTTTTTGAGGTTAGATTTGGGCTCCAATTTCTAATGGACAATTTTGTTTTCTAAAAATAATGTACTCTTGTTAGAACTTCCTAATGTGGACGATTTTCGAGAAGAAAGGCTTTTAATTGAACTCTTACAATATTATGGTGTAGAAAATAAGTGACTTTTCTCAAAGTAGGCTTATGTCAAAACTTATTGATGGATATCTCATCAACAACGCACATATTCTCAGTAATATTTTAAACTTTAATTAACTTTATATCGAAATTTTAGTGACTGTAAAAATGACCAAAAAAATTCTTTAAAAATTCGCTAAATGTCGTTTACCAAATTTCATCTTTTAATTACAGTCTGTACCATTTAAAAAATACACATGCAAGCATCACATTTTTTTGCAACACACTACGTAAACGTCACAAATCTTAAAATGTACCTTCTGCTGTCACTTTGACATTCCCAATTTCTTTTCTTTGACCAAGGGTAAAGCTTTGATAGAAGGACCCACTAAATGGATGCCCTGTACTGCTTTGAAGAGTAGCCTTTGCAAATGTATATGAAACAATTGAATAACCTTTTGACATTTTCCAAAATTAATAAATGACTGATCATTACTTTTCATATTAGAAAATTGATATTTTTTACATTGGGTAACTGTATTATGTCCTACCTCTCTCCTGTGGTCTNAAAAATACACATGCAAGCATCACATTTTTTTGCAACACACTACGTAAACGTCACAAATCTTAAAATGTACCTTCTGCTGTCACTTTGACATTCCCAATTTCTTTTCTTTGGCCAAGGGTAAAGCTTTGATAGAAGGACCCACTAAATGGATGCCCTGTACTGCTTTGAAGAGTAGCCTTTGCAAATGTATATGAAACAATTGAATAACCTTTTGACATTTTCCAAAATGAATAAATGACTGATGCTATGATTACTTTTCATATTAGAAAATTGATATTTTTTACATTGGGTAACTGTATTATGTCCTACCTCTCTCCTGTGGTCTTCTATAGTCTTTTTCCTTGTCCTACACCCATTCCAGCTCCGCGTGGGCACCGGGCACGGCTCCATAGAACTCACCATTCCCGGTGGCGGCCGGTGGACCCGCCAGTACGCCCTCTCCTGGGAGTCGCTGATCAGTTTGTCAGCCTTCTTTAGCACCTTTGACAATTTTACCTGCGGAAACGAAGAATATATTGAATTAACACTTTTTTTTTGTCTATGGGAGAATATGGTTTTCTTCTCACAAAAATTGGAAGAAATGGAAAAATTGAAAAATTCGGAAAAATTTTAGTTTTAATAAAATTTAGTATATGAAAGGTTCTAGCCACTATGTCAATATAAATAATAACTTTTTATAAAGGGTGTCAATACCAACTTTCTTTTTTTAAATGCAACACCCCGTATACTATTAAATTTTTGGATTATTCTTCAACTGTTTCGGAAATATTAAGTGTTTTCAGATTTATTGCAAAAATTAACATTAAAAAAAGAAAATTATGTGATTACCGAAATTGGCTACAACACACTTAATAGTTATTTCCTATTTAGCTCTTGATAATGAGAAAGTAAGCAAAAACCATTTCAGCGTTTCTTTTTACTGATATGAAATAAAAAAAAACTATAAATAGTATTGTTTACTTTTGCTTAAAACGCCTGGCCTTGTCAACGTGTTGTCTGCCTGCATGACAGTAGTTATAGTCGTGTGAATTTCGTTAACTGCATATCAGAAAACTGGTTCATTTAACACAAATGCACAAAATAACGTTTATTTCATGAAAGATTTCCAAATTTGCCACCTATATCCCAAGGGACAATCAGTAAAATAGAAAAGCAGTTTCGCGAGTTTAGACATGTAGGCAGATAAAAAAGCAGCTGCCAAAGCAATAAGTGATGATACCAAATTGGATATTATGCTTGAGTTTGAGGAAAACCAACATACTTCTAGTCGAAAAGCAATCCCAATGATCGATGTTGGCCTTTCATCGATTATTCAAATATTAAAAGAAAATAAAATGCATCCCGATAAAATGAAACCAACTCAGGAGCTCATGGAAGACGATTTTGATAGGAGAACGTATTTTTGTGAACAAATGATGGCAATATTAAATATGAATGTAATCCAATTAGAACATGTTTTGATTTCTGATGAGACCACCTTTACACTTCACGGTCATGCTATTAGTCAAAATTGCCGCTATTGATCTAATGAAAATCCTCACTGGATTACAGAAGAACATACGCAATACCCTGAAAAGGTTAATGTTTGGGCAGGGATTGTTGGAGATCATATCCCTTTTTCATTGATGGCAATTTGAATGGCGATAATTATTTAGCACTCCTCCAAAATAATGTTGTGCCAACTTTGACAAACTTATATCCTGATCCACCAAACCCACAGGTTCCAGTGAATATGATATGGTTTCAGCAAGATGGAGCACCACCGCCCCATTACCAAATCAATGTCCGGCAGTATCTCAACCGAATATTTCCAAATCGGTGGATAGGGAGGCGAGGATCGATGGAATGGCCAGCACGATCCCCTGATTTGACACCATTAGACTTATTCTTATGGGGATATGTCAAAAGTATTATATACAAAACTAACCCCTCGACTTCGCTGACTTAAAGATGAATAACGCTCGCCATTAGATCGGTCACGCCTGAGATGTTACGTAACGTTAGAAGAAATTTCTATTTAAGATTAGAATGTTGCCAAGACGTTCGCGGCGAGCATTTTGAACATCTACATTGGCATTAATGTTTTCTTTCTGCTTTTTTACAGTATTAATAAATACTCACTATTACTTATTAGTTTTTGAGTGTGTTGTAGCGAATCTGTGTAATCAAATAATTTTCTTTTTTTAATGTTAATTTTGCAATAAATCTTAAAAACTTAATATTTCCGAAACAGTTGAAGATAGTTATAGGACATTGTACATGAAATAGGTCCAGGATTTTCTGAAGAATCCAAAAATTGAATTATATACAGGATGTTGCATTTAGAAAAAGAATCCTGTATAAAAAGTTTTTGTTGGAAAAAATGCGCAACTAAAAGTACCAATCGACGTGTCCGAGCGTTTTTTCGAACACGCCACCATTTATTTATTATTGAATTTATTCCATTTGGCTGATACACACTGTATACTGTTTTTTTCTGATCTCGTTTTTTTGTTTGCTTTGTTGAAATTTGGTTAGAAAATACTAATAATACAAATGTTGTTTCTTTAGTTGTAGTGTGTGGAGGAACTTTGGATTCATTTCATATCCATGCAGATTTATGTATTTAAGTATAAAATGTCATAGAACAGAGGAAATATTAACTATAATTATTTTTCTCACTCTGCTATCACCACCACTACTTATAGAGCGAACTCTCATATATTACAATAATTTCACTATATTTAAAAGTATGTAGTAAAGTACCTCACTTACAATTAGAGAACTTTTATTTCGTTTCGATATCTAAGATTTGTTTCCCTATCGTTTTATTTATACAATAAAAAATATTATATTCTTCTTTTGCTGCGAATGAGATGCAGAATATATAGATTTAATTAAAATGTCATGTTCATATACTTACTAAGGTTTATTCCAGCAAAATATTTATGAAAAAATAGTTTAATAAGTAATTTTTCAAGGTTTTCTTCCAGTTTTTCCACATTTTCTATTTTTTTCAATTTTTTGCTTCGGAAAAGAAGAAAAACGACAATTTTTTACAAACATAGTTGCCCTTTGACAGTCTTCATTTGCAAACGGAAACATAATCTAATGGTAATTTCTGGTAATATCAATATCAAAGAAATCGCCATATAAATTTAAAATTTTAAAATAATTTACTTCATTTTATCAAATGGTCTGGAACGTACCATTTGCAATGTTGCTTAACATTTTGAACTAAATAAAACCTCAGATATCAAGTTATTAAGGGTGTTTGTAAATAAGTGCGACATATTTTAGGGGGTGGTTGCCGAAGTTATTTCGTCAAAAAAAGTTCAAATAAACGCAGATCGAAATATGCTTTGTTTCCGAGATACAGAGTGCTGAAATTTAAGTTTTTTATTTATTTTTATTAATTATTTCAAAGAGTTTTAAAGATATTGACTCGATATTTGATTTGTTGTACTTTATTTAGAAATATTGATAGTATTCTACTAGATAATGTGTCAATAGAAATAAAAAAATGCACACAACTTGCAATAAAGTATTTTTTTATTTTTTTCCTCAAAAACGCACCGTTTTTCTCACGAAAAAAATTAAAGAGTTCAATTTCATTCAGAATTGATGACGGATTTGTAAAAAAATATCGAAACTGGAAAAAGTCAGTGACGTACTATTTTTTTTATTAAAAGTTGTGGCATTCTCGCACGAACGCCACTGGAGCAAGTAGAAATATTCGATTCACCACAAAAAATGCACATTTATCCCTCCAAAGCGTTTTTCAAATTTCGAGTCAATATCATTAAAACTGAAATAATTAATAAAAATATATAAAAAAATTAGAATTTAAACATTCCTTGAAACGAAGTATATTTCGATCTAAGTTTATGTGAACTTTTTTTCAGAAAATAACTTCGGCAACCACACCCTAAAATATTTCGCACTTATTTATAAACACCCTGTATATACCTATATCTTCGAAGCTACGAAGTTAAAAATAATATAAAAAAGCGCTTTTTATCATTTTCAAACAAAAAATTTTTGTCAAATTTAGATTTGGTAAGTATTAAAGTCGTTTTGATAAAATTTACAAATATTTCAGGCTCTGAGATGTTTAATGTAATTTTTGAGGCTAAGAAAAGACATAAAATAGTTATCGGTTGCTTTGCTAACCTGCTCCTCGGCTTGCATTGTGATGAAATCCCATTTGTTGGCCAAATTTTTCTTCAAGTTACTCAAAGCCTCGAGCTCGTAATCCTCCAGTCCGTGTCTCTGTTTATTCCTGAGGGTCCTCTTGGCCAAATAAATCGCGTATTCTACGTTGTCGGGAGGCCTGTTCTGCCAAGGCCAATAGTAGGGAGACTAGAAGGAAAACGTTGTAAAATAAATTTTGATACAGTTCCGAATCTTATTACCTGGAATCTATACAAGGAACTGTCGTCTTTGACCACCAAGTTTTTTGAGTCGCTTATTGGAAAAAAGTAGCCGTACTGACACAGTTGATTGGCTATATTGAGCGCCTCTAAAAGGGAAAATTTATTGTACAGGGCGTTTCCAAGATATCAGAAAACAAAAAAATAAGAGGTTTCTTACCGGATTCTTCAATTCCAAGACGCTCCATTAACCATTCTATCAGGTCGTACCCTGGAACAGCGAAGAATAATCACATTTCTATGATTTCTTAGATGCATTTTGGTTGTTCAAGTTTAGTAAATGCTTTTAGGGCGTCAAATATCCTACAGAATTTGAAATATCCCTCTTAAGAACAAATTAACATTTTAATGAATTTACCAAACTTTAAATAGTAGTTCGGGGAGTCTGAGGAGGCAGCCGTTTTCGAATAAGCCGACGAATTATATGCCTTGAAAGATAAATTATTTGAGATATCCGTTACTAAGACGACGATGATCCTAAAATCGTAAGTTACATAACACGCATGAATAATTCAAGGCAGTATAACTTTGTAGCGACGGATTTTGGATCAAATTAATCTATTCTACTAACACCTCTTTGCAAATTCAGTAAGAATAATATTGTGGTTGATAAATTAAATATTTTATGCAGATTTGGAAGATATATGAGGAAAAGTCATTAGTAAGTATTATTTAATAATATTGTTATAAGAGACTTATATAGTCTTTCCGATATCAATTGAAGAACCAAGAGCATGACAGTATATACCAGGTTCGGTCGCTGACGCAGCAACTCGGCATTGAAATATTTGAAAAACTTGTTCCCACATTTATTTAGCCATACCCATATACAGGTCTGGTCGAACTAAACGTGGAGGTGGTAGGAATGTATACGCCCAGTTGAAGAATGCGCAGTCAGGAAAACGGTGTAGCCGAACTGGGCGACTGGGTAATAAATCTCAGCTGTTGACAAGTGGCTGACAAATTGTCTAGCAGGTAATTTTAATTTACTACAGGCACCTTCTATTAATAATTCATATTACAATTGCGAAAGGGAGAAATAAGAGGAATATTTTGTTTACTAATATTATTACAACATGGCATTGTGGAGGCCTTTTGAAACGGAACAAAACGAAATTTACCATCAATATAATAAAATTGTTTGAGGACATAAATAATTAAAATATGTTGTTGACCAAATGAACATAAACAGAAATTTTCTGCACATTATATACAAATTATTAGAATTTTTACCTTTATCAGAAAACTTTTTTAGGGACGCCTATGAAACTCATTAAATTTTATTGCTAGGCGGTTTTTCACATGTTCAACTGACTTCGGAAAGACTTATACTTTGTACTAGATACCCTAGTATGTCGAAAAGTGGTATAAATAATTCTGTTAGCATTTTTTGTAATATCCCTCTTATAAGCTATAATTTCTGTTTGGTGTTCTGTTCTTTCGTCAGATTTCAAATCTATCTCAAATTCAGGGCGTCCAGTAGAGTGTGTCACATTTCAATAATATCCGCCTTAATTTTTTTCTTTTAATTTCATTTTTCAAAGATAACGGACACATTTTAAGATAATTCGATGAATTTTGTTTTTAGGAGAGTTTTTGGGGTAGCCACATATTATTTTGTGATTATTTTTGTGTAAAACATAGATGGCACTAGTAACAACCTTATACCTGCATACCTTTGTATACCTTTTGTGGATGTTTTACAAGAATAATCAGACTTTTGCAAACAGCACTCGATTTGTTTTAAAAACGATGTACTATACTCATTAAATGTCGCTAAAATGAGCTACATTGAAGAATAATTAAATAAATAAAGCATTTACAAGTTCCCAGAATGTTCACCATTAACATTACCTAGGCAGCTTGTTAATCGCTGATTACTCAAGTTAGTTTGAAATCTCGAAACAGCTTTCAAGAGGAGTGTCTTGGTTAGTTCAAAGTAATATAGATACAATGCTCCACGACTAAGTCTACTATGTTTTATGCAAAAAATAATTGCGAAGGTACGTAGCATTTTAAGCAAGCTAAATTGTCCTGAGGTAACTTAGTCCCCTCTTAAGAGATCTTGTTGTACAAACTGGATAGGTTTGGTATGCCTGATTCAATCATACTTACAAAATAGGTATCAGTTTGCTCAATATCGTTGTTTTAAGTTACACTTTTTTTGGGTATGTTTTTTTCAAATAACTATTTCAATTTTTATTTTATGAAAATGACTTTTAAAGAAAGAAACTGCTGACATTTTTTTACGAATTTAAAAAAAAATGTTTTTCTACGACCTCCTGGTGTCGAGTTAATTTTTTTATTTAAAAAAAATTTTGAGGGCGCAATTAACATTTTACAGCGATGCGCTTGATGGAGGTTAATATTGAATACTTATATTTTCAAAAAAAATAGTAGGATATGTTTACTTGATTTTTAGTAATTGGTAATTGAGTAATAAACTGAAGCGTGCAAGCGCTGAGTGCGTCAGCTGGACCGGACGGAGAAGTAGGGGGAAGCGGCGCGTGCTCGCTCTGAAAACTGATGACTTGCAGTCTAGATGGCTCGCGCCATATTTTCGTGGAGAAGTATAATAAAAGTAAAAAAATAGAAGTTAAATAAAAACTAAACATTTACGGGACTATTTTGCTTCTAAGGCGAAAATGACTATAATATTCGTGTTTAGCTACCCCAGATTAAGTGCAAAAGAATTTTTGTACGTGGTCCAGAAGCCGAGATATCAAAGATTTTGCAAGCGCGAGCTATTTAGACTGCACGTAAAATATAAAAAAAAATATCTCGGCTTCGGAAGGTCTTAGAAAAACATTTTTTTTTTTAATTCGTGAAAAAATGTCAGCAGTTTCTTTCTTTAAAAGTCATTTTCATAAAATAAATATTGAAATAGTTATTTGAAAAAAAAACATACCCAAAAAAGTGCAACATTTTCAGTCATTTTTTGATCCTTAAAATTAATAAAATCGTTAACATTTTTTAAAAGCATGATAATATAACTCTTTACGAAGAAAATAAACCGAAAATCGTCACTGTAGGGCTATCCGCTTAGAAGATCTATTCAATTTTCGAGAGCACCTTTTTTTCAAAAAATCGATATATCTCGAAAAATAATTAATATTTTCAAATTTTTCAAAAATGTACTTTTTTGGCTTGCCGCGGGCTATGCTTGCAGTAAATAGCAAGTATGGGAACATAGATGTAAACGAGTTATAGAAGAAGAGAGAAGAGAAGATTTTTAACGGTTTTTTTGATATATCTCGAAAAGTAACAAAGCAATCGATATTTACAAAAAATCAGTCGATAGATCTTTTTAAAACCTACAACTTTCTCATTTAAAATTTTTCAATCGGTGCTATATTTTTTTAGTTATTTTTAGAAAAACCGTTTTTTTTTGCAAATTTGCGATTTTTTTTAACCATGTTCGCTATTTTGCATCGAGTTTAAAGAACAGGAAACTCAATTTAAAATTTAATTTTCTATACGGTCATATTTTTTTGTCCGGGTAATAATTTCTGCAAATTTAACATTAATCCGTGACAGAATGTTTGGACTAATAATGCACTTGATGTTATTAGTCGGTGGTGGAGTTATTTAGAAAAAAAAGAATATGTGTTTCATAATAAGGATTCCAAAGATTTCGTCAATATTTCTACATTACGATACGATTACCATACATTACTCTTATTCGTTCTAAATTAGAACATGCATCAAGAGTCTGGAGCTAACCAAATTACAATTTGGAAAGAGTACAGCGTAGACTTATGAAATTAGCCATATACTTACTCCATAATATTTTCGACTGTCCAGATGTTTTAAATAACGTACAAACTAAAGTACCACGACTTTAATCTAGAAGCAATAACGTTTTTAGTCTACCCACAGCACGCAATCACATCCTTGTAGCATCACCGTTGTATTAGGTTATCTCTAATACAGTGAGGTGAAAAATTATGCTCATATTCTTTGTTGTCCGACACAGTATAAAAAGTGCATTGCTAAATAGCAATGTATTTCTTTTTTCTTATATTGTTTATCTTTTTGTTTTGTTCTTTTTATTTGTGTTATTTGTAAGTGTGTATGTTTTTTTCTCTATTTTTCATATTTAAATCCTATTTTCTCTTTTTTTTCTTATATTTTAGTAATAAACTGAGTCGTCAGTGCCGCGAGAAACAACTACTCCGAGAGCTATTTGCCCCTACCGGCATTGAATTATACTCGCGACACCTAGTACAACAGCTAGGATCGTTTGTCAGTTTAACCCACCAGGCACAGACCGGTTTCGGACTTATTAGTCCTCATCAGTGTGTGATAGGTGCGACAACCGACAAACGACCCAGCTGTTCTTCGTCGTATCATCACGAAGAGGAAGTACATTGTACGCGGGAGCGGGCAAATAGCTCTCGGAGTAGTTGTTTGTCGCGGCACTGACGACTCAAACATTGTGTTACGCCCTCTGTGGGTGGCAGTCGTGCAAAAAAGTACCTGCAGTTAGCAGGTCGCTTCCTATGTAGTCATTTGAATGGCACAGTTGGGAGTCTGTACGACAGATGGAGCCATTGGCTCCCGCGTACATTAGTAATAGACTGTTATTGGGCATTGCCTGTTGGAAGTGTATTTTTTTTAATAGATGAATGCATTAACATAAATTGGTTTATTTTGGCTCTTGAAGTATGTCACATTCTTTTTTGGACACCCTGTATTTAATCGATGTTCTCTGCTGCGACACTTAATATAATTTCAGGAAAAAAAAACGAATTTAATTCGGGTACGTCGAGACACGTGCTTGGTACAAGCTGAACACGGAATGCCCGGAATTTTCCGACCGGCACTCCGTCTTCCATAACGGGTCTTAATGAGAGCTTACCCATAAAGGCGGCAGGAATTGATGTTAGGAATAATTTCTGGCTTCTGACAGGAACGCCCCCGTGCTCCGTGTCCTGCATCTCTCGCACCAGCCCCTCCATCTGCAAAGAGAAGTTATTTTAATAAAAATCTTGGAATTAAGCGGGCTGCTTACTTCCTCGCCTTTAAACGTGACATTGATATGAAATTTAATGAAAAAAGTGGGTAGACTGGCCAATGTGGCCAAGACGAATGCCAAAATGAAATATTTTAAAAAAAAGTCATACGGGTATGAGTTACGCTTTAAAGGGGTGACTCCTTCCTCACACCTACGACACTGGTAACTGAAGTGTAGGTTTACTAGTATAGTTTACAAATATATTGAGATCAATATTCCTAAATTCATCATTTTGTATTTAAAAGCTGTTCTCACTTCGGCTAGTATATCAAAATCGTAAATTGAACAATGTCGACATTTTATTCCTTTTCTCCAATAAAATACAAATTTAAGTTGAGGGAAGCTAAGAATCTATGGCGTTCTTATGGATTTACAAGGGCATTTATCATTTTTATTATAGTCAAAAGGTGGCGTAAATCAATATTTCTACGAGAGATCGGAAGGGATAGTCAAGAAAACTTTCAGATAACTTGAAATCAAGAGCAGGGAAACTGCTTTTTGTAGCAAACGCAAACACACATTTTTATTTATTTATCGCTTGTTATAGTAAGGAATTATGCTTTACACGAAAATAAAAAGTATTGTAAAGGTCCAATTGTGTCAAATTTTGTTTTAAAATATGAAAATGCAACATTGACATTCTGATTATCACAGCGCCACAAAAAAAGTACCTGTTCCGAAAGACCAGACCATGATGTCTATATGTTTTTATCTGCTCCCACTATAGTAAATAGATTATTAATACATTGTTTTTAAGGAGGTGAGTGGATTTTACAGTAGAAGTGGAAGTTGCTATGGACAATGGGAGGTAAGTGAGGTAACTTACCTCCATAGGGAAAAAAGCGATTTCGAGTTTATAACTCGCTCCATTTCAGTCACTGGAGGCTCAATCTTATCTGACTATTCATTAAAACAGCATGATGCGATTATTACTAGAACCTGGAGTGTCATTGTAAAGAATCCTGTTGGCCATTTCATTTTTGTTACTGAAACTGTCAGCAACATAACTTTCTGCAATTGTGGCTGATTTCCAGCCACCATATCTCTTAATTGCTAATACATCAGCTCCTGTATTAGCCAGTAACGTTGCCGATGTTCTTCGGAATGAATGGCCTGTATATGTTCCAGGATGTTCTAGTTTCAAAAACTGTGCAATCTTATTAGGAATCATAGAAAGGGTATTCTTATCGACTAGTTGGTTGTATCATCTACCTGATTGATAGCGCATAAAAAAAATTTAGTTTTAATTTCCAATCTAAATCTTGATACATTTCTTGATAATTTCTAGGTGAAAAACAGAACCTAGACGAGAAGTAATAGTTAACGTGACATACTATTTTTAGAATCTGGAATTGTAACTACAATAATGATATCGAAATTTTTGCAATTGACGTTGTAAGTTTGCATAACTCATTAGAACGGCATGCATCTGCAATGCGTATAAGACCGTCACTACCTTCATTAGTAAATATGTGTTATCGGGTGCCTGAACGAAAAAATCGTTGACTTCTCTTGTAAAAACGTTTGACATTTTAGGTGTATAGCTGTCATTCTTACGGTTAAAAAATGCTCTCAGCTTGAGGTATTTTGATATATCCAGGTTCTTCTCTATGAAAATAGTTGACTTAATCATTGAGTATTCACTCCATAAACTCGGTGACTTTAAAGTTCTTGACTTCTCCATGAAATATGTTAACAGCGACATTTCAGAAACACCAGTATTTTTGTTCTGGCACCATTCTTTGAAATTTCTATATGCTCGTCCGTAGCTCACTTTCGACTTCTCGGGTAATAAAAATTCGCAGGCAACTTTCTATTTGAAAATCACTCATTTAGAAATAATAATTCAAAAACAACTTCTAGCTTTGTCTATATACACCTTAGAAATGACAAAATCCAAACAACCAAGGCGACTTTGTAAGATTTTGAATAATGTCGAAATGAATTGATTAAGAAATGTGAAAAAATAAAACCTAATCTTTATTTCATGAACCATAAAGAACTGTGGGAGCAGATAAAATGTTATACACCACGCAGCGGTTAAGTATAATTTACCAGTCTCGGACTCTATTGCCAGTCCTCGCTCAGCTCGGGCGCAAAATCGCCCTCGACTAGTAAATAATACTTACCTCCTTTATGGTGTAAATAATAATTATTGAGGTCCGAATCAGAGGTTCGTTTAACCCGATCAGGTCAGGGTCAAGGTCAAACCAAGGTTATATCGCGAAATAAAGTTAATACAAAAAATTTGACCACTCGTACGTTTTTGGAGTCACTGATTGTTGAATTCTACATGAAATTGTAACTAAAAAGTGTCTCTAGTAAGTTCTTTCCTAGAAAAAAATTTATGAATATTTTATGCTTGCAACGAATACAGATATTACAAAATGTGTTTATGGTTAAACGATTATTTTGGGTTTACTGATTCTTTTAACTGTATCACGTCAGTTTCAAGGTCATTTCAAAATCAAGAGCAACAAAGAGACCATCCATATACGTTTTTGTAACTACCTCATCTTTATTTTATTGTTAAAAGATCTGTGAAGTTTTACTTGTTTTTGATTACAATTGTGTGAATTTTCATGGTAATGTTTGTTTCCGTGTACGTATACTTGAAGCATCTAAATCTAATTCCTTGAAAAATATTAAACTCGTGCATATTAGAACGATTATATTCCTACTTATGGCGAGCTTTTGTTTAAAATTGGTGTTAGTTGCAAATACAGGGTGGTCCGAATTTTATGCAGGAAACTTCGAGGGCAGATAGATCTCTTTAAAATAATAGGTGTTTGCCTTATAAACATAGGTCTAGAACGGCCTCGTTTTAGAGATACAGGGTGTTAAAGTTGTTAAAAAAAATTGATTTTTTGTTTATATCTCCGGAATCTATTAACCGATCTCAATAAAATTTGGTACAGATAATCTATAACAGTAGGCCTTGCATTCCCTCAAATGCGAGCTCTAGAGGTTCAACCAGTGGTGTACAACTGGACAGGAGTCGCCCTCTTTTCATAAAAAAACCTACGCCACTGTATTTTTTACAACATATTGTAACGGATTTATATTCTAATGCACTAAATACGTAAAAAAGGTAACTTGAATTTTTTCCCTAAGATTCGCCGTTCTCAAGTTATTCATACCAATACAGTTCCCTTGTGGCAGACATTTCAAACCATAATATTACAAGAATATTTATGTTTATGCTTGAAAGTAATAATTCAAATAGATGGTTTTCTAGAGAGTTTAGAAATTATTGGGAATTTGGATGGTAGCAAGAAGAAAGGTCCACAAACTTTATTGCGAATTATTCCGAGCCACACTTTCACAGAAAATTCGTCTTGAAAAGATCTTGTTCGAATTTCATGAGGATTGAACGTAGCTTCATCGATCCAAAGTATTTTTAGTAAGAATTCTGGATTATGTTGTGACTTTAACAACCACTGACAAAAATTCAGGTGTCTCTCTGCATCTTCCGGAAGTAAATTTTGCACAGGTTGTAAATGGTACGGATTTCTACCATCTTTATGTAGAACTTTTCAAATTTTCGATTTACTCATCCCGAGTTGCCGAGACGTTTTTTAATCCAAAAAGATGAAAGCGACGAGTGTAAAGAATTTTGTTGAAGTGCTTACAAATTGCACTTACTTTTAAGCATAAACATAAATACTATTGTAATATTATGGTTAGAAGTATCTGCCACAAGGGGATTGTATTGGTATGAATAACTTGAGAACGGTGAAATTTACGGAAAAAATTCAAGTTACCTATTTTAAGTATTTTGTGCATTAGAATATAAATCCGTTACAATAACTTGTAAAAAATACAGTGGCGTAGGTTTTTTTTTAAAAAAAAGGGGTGATCCTGTCCAGTTGTACACCACTGGTTGAACCTTTAGAGCTAATATTTTAGGTAATGCAAGGCCTACTGTCATACATTATCTGTACTAAATTTTATTGAGATCGGTTAATAGATTCCGGAGATATAAACAAAAAATTTAATTTTTTTAACAAATTCAACACCCTGTATCTCTAAAACGAGGCCGTTCCAGTCCTATGTTTATAAGGCAAACAGCTATTATTTTAAAGAGATCTATCTGCCCTTGAAGTTTCCTGCATAAAATTCGGACCACCCTGTATAACGCGAGCTCAATTCTCTCCACTGAGTTCAAAGCATAGTTATGCCACTCTTAGAACTTCGCCTTCATACTTAAATTAACAGTTTCATGTGCCAAACCAGTACCACTAAGGCAAATCTCTGCAAATTCCACATATCAAGTGCATATAGAGCTCCGGCTCATTTATAATGTGCACATTTATGGTGCGGAGTAGATGTATTAAAGGCATCAATTTGTAATATAGACATAGTCACGTTATTAACGTAAGTGGTAGACTAATAGCTGTACGTTTTAGGGTCGTCCCATAAGTCTGCAGATTGATTTGACTGGGGAATTGGTAACTCCCTTAAATGTTATTAGATTATGTTATGTCTGGCAACAATGCCAATTCGTGCATTATTAAGCTGCAATCTCAATCTGTGTGTGTAGCCCGTACATCAAACTACAGGAATTGTAATATTGTTTTTTCACATACTGTGAATGTAAAAATTATATTCTAGTTTTAGAAGTATTTGAGAATGGAGAGTATGCCATTCGAGAATAAAAAAAGACTTCGCAAATGTGTATCAAACAATAATTTTTCGAAAACTCTCGGAACATTGTTAAAACGTAAAATAATATTTGATGTTTCTCGTAGAGATATGTATCGATCGATAGTCATTTGGAAGTCATTTGGCGTGTTGAGAAATTCTGGCAATATTATAAAAAAAGTGTTACAATATTACGACTCAAATGTTACTTCTTAATTATAAATATTCATTACTTAAACTTGTCCTTTTTATTCGTTCAGTGTCATGCAATGCAATCTTGCATTATTAGCAAAATAAACA